TTCCAGCTCCCCAGCTACTCTGCGTACTAAAGTTGTACTACAAAGTCGCCAGTTCTCAGCTTCCAGCTCCACAGATTGCTTTCGCGCGCTCGACACGCACGATCTCCGCAGAGGGTTGCGCGCGCAGCCGGCAAATCGCACTCTCGCCTGCATTTCGCGCACTCGACACGCACGATCTCCGCAGAGGGTTGCACTTTCGGTTGACGCTGTTCGTCCCGCACTCCGCCTTTAAGAGAGAATTTATAAATTGGGGAAATGTTTTTTCATTAGGACATCTCCCGTCCATACTCACACTTGCCTACTCATTGCATGCTTGCATAGTCATTGCATGCTTGCATACTCACCCTTGCATATCATGCTTGCATACTTACACTTGCATACTTTGACACTGGCATACTTCGCACTTGGATGCTTTCGCTCTTCCAGTGTGTGTGTGTGTAAGTGTGAGTGTCGAAGTGTAAGTGTCGAAGTGTCAGTGTTCAAAGGATTTTCCGGAAGAACCCTTCGCAATGCTTTCGGGAATATAACGAATTCATCAGGATCCCCGTGACTACAAGGGCTACACACACAGGGGAGGCGAGAAAAACTAAGGTTAGGAACGGTTAGGGCGAATGTGCACGTGTGCGCGCAGCAAAGACAAAAAGATAAGACATGAAGAGAGGACAAGCAAGACAGGACAAAAGTGTGTGTGGTTGCGATGAAAGGGAACCAAGTGCACAGGGACAACCGATGAACCCCACCTCATTGTCAAACCTAGGCGACCTGAAACCTGGGTTTAAAAGTACAAGTATATGTGCGGCTACACACTAAGGCCGGGACCGATGTGTGCGCAAAAGAAGGAATGAAATGCCAAGACATGAAGACAGGAGGACATGAAAGAAAAGAGGAGAACAAATGTGTGTGAAGGGGAAGGGTGAAAAGGGAACCAAATGGGACGAGAACCGATGAAGCCAAACCTCATTGAAAACCTGTTGCAACGCCTCTTCTGTATGTGAACACATCGCGCGCGGGGAGGGAGGGATAGGGAAGGAAGAGAAGAAAGAAAAAGAACAAAGGAAACGAAAAGAAGGTGTTCCCAGCTACCACACAAGCGTCCAAGGACACACCAAGAGAAGAAGAGAAGGGTTCCCAGCTATGACGAAAGCATCCAGGGACCAGGGACGCCCAAGCAAGAAGGAAGGGGAAGAAAGGAGAGAGAAAAAGAGAGAAAGAGAGAGAGAGAGAGAGAGAGAGAAAGATGGAGAAGAGAAAGAGGAGGAAAGACAAGGACGTAGACAGGTTCCCAGCTACGAGCAAGCATCCAGGGACACACCAAGGAGAGGGGCGTACCTGAGTGTTACATTCAGGAATACACCAAAAGTAAAGAGAGAAGAGGGGGGGGGTGGGGGGAGGAAGGGGCTTAAGGTCCCGACAGGTTCCAATATGAACCTAGAAAATGCTTTGACCGCTATGGTCACCTTGTTCCATGCCAAAATGGCAGGCGACTTGAGACCGCTGTGGGCATCTAAAGTAAAGGCATGCCAAAATGGCGGCCAAATAACTTTGGCATAAGCCTCCTGCTGTCCGCTTCGGACACCTACGTTCCTGGGCAGGGGGAACAACGACAAACCCCCATTCGACGGGTACACAGGGGGCACTGGGCTCTCACGAGGAGGGACACGCTTATTGCCCACCTAGGTATGAACGCCTAAGAAATCAGGTGAAAGGTAAAACGCGAAACGCGAGTTGCGGTTAGTAGCAGAACCACATACATGAACCACCATGAAAGGAAACCACAGCGAGAACAACAGGTAACCAGTTTGGCAGGTACGTTTACACGGATCCCAGAGAAGGTCTTCGTTGGCCACCGCTCCTTTGGGACCCCGATGGCCCCCTGCTGAAAAAAACAAAACGAATCCATCAGGATCCCTGTGGCTCCAAGGGTTACAGACACACACACACACCTGTCAAAACCCAAAAGGTGTGCAAGCAAATGCAAATTTTGCAAATTTTTCTCGATTCAATATTCAAGATTCTGGGGAACAATTCTTGAATCCAAGCCCTCGTATGTTGAGGTTCTGGATGTCAGCCAGGGCTTGGATTCAAGAACTTTTCCCCAAAATCTTGAATCCAGAAAATTTAGCAAAATTTGCAAGCTTTGGGGATAGTACAAAAATTCTGCGGAAAGGAAAGTACAACCAAACAATGTGATTGCTGTGGATGTGGATTTACAATAGATACTACAAAAGGGTAGTGTATCAGATGCACCTTACTGTCATAGATGCAATAGTAGTTTAAAATGATTTTTTTGCAATAAATTATACTTGTTTATTGTGTAACATATGCTAAAACGTATTTAAAGACATAGTGTGCATACATACTGGGGAAATACTACCAAACAGTATTGCAAAGGATGTCAGAATAACAGAACATTAGAGATTTTTACTGAAGGGTTCAAAACCTGCAACAGTTGTAGAACCAAACAACCAAGAGGAAAACAATAACTGTTTTTTCACATCTTCACAACATGCCTGGCAAGCTCAAAAAGGTAGGTCTTGTGGGGATATATATATATAGGGGATTTGTGGTGTGATATTCTAAAGAAACATGTTCATAAAAAATGCCGGACTTAGCCCCCTATGAGACCGCGATTAGGTTGCAAAACGCCAGCGGTAGGACAATTTTCGGAACCTGTAATTCAAGACAACGCCTGCATGTCCGCCATATTGCACAATTGATGATAAAAGGATCACCACTAAAATGTGCAAACATTTTTCACACCCGTACTTATATGATAGGTACGCCAATCTGTTGACCAGTTTTTGCATTTTTCGCGCGACAGGCAGTCACCCATGTGCTTGGCGCAGGTCTTAGTCTTGGCGGACGTGGTGGATGGCAATCGACGTGCTCAAGCAACGACGAGAGCGGGAAAATATTTGATGACATTCTCAGACGATTACTTGGACCGGTGCCTGATGCGCGAGGCTGGGGTGAAGTTGGATGCACAAGCTTCGACGCTTTTGCATAGTGTTCCCAAAATGTTGGTGTGCGGCGGTGTGCACATAGGCCAACTATAGACTTCAACCCGCCCAGCGCAAGAAGTCCCGAACAGAAATGAATCCGCCTGCATTCCTAGGCCTGAACAAATGAGAAGGCTCAGCTTGACTTTTGCTGTAAGTCGCCAAATTAGACATTTCTTTGTGCAGGTCGATGACAACAACAAAGTGTTGCCAAAACCTAAGTGAAGATGCGAGGTTTTGCTGTATGTACGTGGTGGCGACTAGCAGCGGCTCACACCCTTGTGCATGCAAACTTGAACGAGAAAACCGTCTCAGAATCCTCAGAATTAGTGGACATCCAGATGACGTCAACCAGCCTTGATTGCAGTCAAGTGAGGGTCAAGACGAGCTAGCAAAACTCATGACTCATGCCCAGGCCAAAACAGTACATGGAGGACTTCCAACGACGTCGCCAGGATGCTGCAGGGACAGAGGCGGAGATACGACAGCACTGGAGGATGTATACATATATTATGTGGTTTTCTATATGTTTTTGTGCTGTTTTTTGTGTTCGATCACGCCATACTTGGCAACAGCCAACGGTTCTGGAGTGTTGCCAGACAGAGTGGTGGGGATGCGCGCAAGGCGAAACTTACCGACCGAACTATGTAGTTCGAATCAAATCAATGTCTTTAGAGTTTGCACACGGTAGCACGAAATGAGCCACACCAAAATTGTTTCGGTGTTTTACAGACTGCGATGGATTAAACTGCCGAATCCCAACCCGATCAGACTAAACGAGTCTTCATTGCTGGAGCATGCCCATGCTGGCTGGTTGAGATTTTAGGAGCTTCTACAATTGCCCTGAGGGTCCCAGCTTCCACCATACTGGGTGTCCAAGCATTCCACCCGCGTGCAAACGCTTGTAATTCCTTCCAATCTCAAGCATTCATGTAAATATATGAATTTTAAGTCCAAGATATGTAGACAACCAGGTGCTCACCCCGCTTTGGGTTTGTGTCCCATAGCTGTGCCAAAGTCCGATGGAGGTGCTGGAGCCAGATAGTTCTGAGGCCAAGGACCAGCGCATAGTTGGGATTAGTTTGGCATGAACGAGTCTGTAGGCGTTAATGCTGCAGGTTGGCAACTTGGGGTCAGTCGTCAGTTGGACTTTAAGAGGTGATGTACCATGGGTTCATCTCTGGATGCCCTGAGCAAGTGGCTTGCAGGACCTTTTGCCGGTGTCGTTGGAGAAACGCTATGTGCCTCGGAATGCCTTAAGGTTGTCCTGCCATGGCTGCAACCATAGGGTTTGGCCCAACTCACTCCTGACCTGGCTTTAATGTCACGTAATTTTATAGTGATAGTGCTTGGTGTGGCGTAGGCATATTGTTTGAATCTGAGCTTATGTGGCTGGTGGCTGGCATTCCCATCGTTTTGGACTTCGTTTTGATTCTTGTGGGCAGCGAAGAAACTTAGGTCATGCGAAGGCCTTGACCTTGGCAGTACTACTGACAGTGAGCTGGAAGGGCACAGGTTTGAGCCTGTACAGCATGTGCACTGTAAATGGCTGATCCAGGCGGCCTAACAAACAGTAGTGCTCACTGTTCACCACACACAACGTTGGTCGCTGAGGCAAGAGTTGGACTATTTGGTTCAGCACACGTTGCGACATGTGACCTGGTTGCCTTAGAAGGTTGAGTCGACCAGCGATGGTGTGAGCAGGCATGGACAGAGGGAGGCATTGTGACTAGACGTGTAGGACTGAGTAGGCGGAGAAAGGGGTTTGCAGAGGCTGCACTGCAGAGGCCTGTGCAACGCTTCACTCAGGTGCAGCTGCCCTACTTTTTGGATGATGATGTGCCTTGCTTTCACTGCGGACAATGCTGGATACAGTTCTAGCGAGACATTTGTGTTGAACAATAACTGTAGTTGCTTGATGTGCTTGAAGCCAAAAATCGTCTCAATCAGATTGATGCAAGAAACGGCCGTGTCGGACGACAAAGCAGAAAAGCACGAGATGGAACCCCAAACATGGAGATGGACTTGGTTTCATCATGGTGTGCCGTCCGAGGAGAAGAAGGCCTTTGACCAGGCTATCAGTGAGGCGGGTGGCGATTCCGCAGCTTCGTTTCGGACGGCGTCGTGGCACGGACTGACGGAAGGGGGTTGTAGGATTTCTGTGGTCAGCGGCGTGACAAGGTCGGTTTCAACCACTGGCAGGTCGTATTCCTTCTTGGCAGATCGGGAAGCGGCAAAACGAGTGTGCTGGTCCACAGCCTGTTCCGTGCCCCCGGTCATAAGAGGGCATTCTGACTTGCGGAATTTGCTACAGGAGCCGGTTTGAGAAGATGACTTTAGGCAGGATATTTGGCAAATTATGTGAAAGGCATTGATAGGCAATATAATATCATCAAGATGTTCGGCAAGTGTTCTTGTGGTTGCGAACATGCTGGCCGTGCAGTCCTGCAATAAAACATCTCGAGTTACGCACTAGGTACTGCATGCCAAGAACGCCAGCGTCGGGCTGATGGTGGTGAAGACGATGATGCGTTTTTGATGCTGCATCTTGGCCACACAGGGCCTCAATTGTAGGAATGTTTGGCTTCAAGAGGCAATAGGCAATAGGGGCCTGGGGAATATTGTGGGGACGGGAACATCCTGTGGAACATTGTGACATCATTGTGAATTATTGTGTTTTCGACTTCTTGTGCCTGGCTGCTGGCAAGCAACCATGGAGACAGCTACCTGTCCGTTAAGAACTCGCTCAGTCACGACATGTCACCACCATTCTAAAACATTGTGCTCTCTCAAACTAGAGTAAGTTCCAGCCAGACCAACTACCACTGGTTGTGCGATGCCTTCTGATGCCAATTATCTAGTTTGCTTCCAATGGCCAGGTTGGTAACACGATCTCCGGTCCTGGCAGACTCCATCCGAAAGCTTTTCGCGCAGATGCAAGCTGGACCAGCTGGAGGTCTGGTAGGTCCAAAGCCCCAAGAGTCATGCTTCGTCAACCACCTGGACTGCAGACATCATGAATCATGATGGCAAAGACATGGCAGACATGGCACTGGTCCAGCACTGGCCCAACTGGTGCCCAGCGTGCCATGAGAGGTTCCACGGCGGACGAGACCAATACCTTGGAGGACCTGGCAGGCACGTGGGAACTGTGCTGCTGGAGAATGCATGGAAAGTGCAGCTTATAAACATCCGTCCACCCAATTGCACCTTTTGACCATGATTTGACAAGATGCTTCAAGCTGTTGGTGATCATTCAAGCGCAAGATGGCGCAAGGTAGTTCCTGTGAAGTTTCCAAGCTTAACAAAGTCCAACACAACACAGACTAACCCCGCTCCGTCTCGAACCTGGAAAAAACAACAGTAGTCAATAGACAATATCACTTATCACGATAGCAGCTTCAGTGAGACAGGCATCGAGCTGGGTGTGGTCAAGGAGGAGGAGCGGCGTCAGTTCCGACCTCCTCCCCAGAGCTTGCAAGAAGATGTTTTCGACCCGGCTGAGTCTCCAGCCCCCTGGCACTGGGATTGGGCACCTTTGAAACCATGGTGGCGCACAGGTCGGGAATGCAGAGCCGAGTTATGAGTTAAGATGACTGTGTGTCATTCGGACTGCATTGTCGGCGGCTCATGTGGCTACATCCACGAGATGCCGCAAGTAAGAGTGGAGTGAAAGTGGCGGTCTTTTGGATCGCTAGCTGAGGTCATCACCAGCTGGGAGTCTTTGTTGCTCATGCTTGACAGGTCCATAGAAGGCGAATGGGAGATGCGGGCTTGGGAGAGTGAGTCCAGCATGTTGAAACACCACACCCAGGTTTCAAGGGCATTTCGTTAGGTTGTCAAAATAGCAAAGCCCACTATATTCAACATTTGGTTGGTGTATTTCCTTGACTTAGCAAGACCATGCCCCTCGTTGCTTCCTTTGTGGGGGAACAGTAGTCGATTGAAAGGTTAAACACAGGCCACCCTGTTTGGGCCTTCAGCTTTGAACCCGGATGGTGATGGTGAGGTAGGAAGGGAGGGAGGGGGAGAGAGAGAGAGAGAGAATCCTTTGGTGAAGCTTGATCCTCCTGGCAAGGGCTTAGTTGGAGGCTATTTTTATGGTGAGCTTTGCAGGTGAGCCCTTCTTCCGTCCGCAAACGGACTCTGGAAGCCGCGTGACGCGAGCTTTGCAACGACGAGGCCTGGTATCTCTGAGATTTTTGAACACCGCTAGCCTTGAATGTTGCCCGTTTAGTCAGGGCTTTGCCTGCATGAGTTTTGAAGGGTCCGGTGAGAGGTGGAGAGGTGTGGAGAAGAGGGCTCGAGTTGGACCTTCTTGTGGTGAGGCAGATTAGGCAAAAACTTGTCTTTGGGTAACCTTGGGTACGTGTGGGCATAGCTGGCGGATTCTTGGTTGTATCTGTTTATGGCGTTTGTCGTCCCAAACCCGCAGTTGACAGCTGCTCATTTGCAAGGAAGCTCGAAGTGAGACTTTGGGACGATGTGGGGGGCAGATGATAAGATCATAATATTATAAGTTCTGAGTTGTAAGGTCTATATAGATTATATAGGTCTATATACGTACAGTGACAGTATCAGCCCTTGTGCATCTCAATGGCATATCCTCAAGCCTTGTCAGAAGTTGCTAGCCCTGTTTACAGCCTTATTCGGCGAGTCAGTGATGAACCCAGGACAGAGAAGCGGGGGATCAATGACTTTGCGTGGTCAAGATCGCTTTGAGAACGAAAAGGAGTGTTCAGACGGTTATGGAGAAGATTATCATGGCAACAATATGCCCTCCCATGATACACCCACTGGTAGATTGAGCACATGCTGTGCAAGGAGATGGTCGCGAGTCGCAACTCAATGACCACTGAAAGCACCCAGCTTTGCAATCATTCAATGACCGCCCATTTGGCCTGTTCATCCACCGTCCTGATCCCCTCCCCGCCCTACCGCATACTGTACTACTTACCACACTGCGAGGAGGAGGGCCGATTTGACATGGAGTGGGATCACCTCAGCTACGAAGAGTTCGAGGTGGGTTGGTGCTCTGGCCGTTGTCAAAGGAGGTTTTTCATAAAGTGTGTGCCTTTTCTGCCGTACCTGCCATGGAACATGATGATTGCATGGAAGGTGCACCAGGTCCTGCAACCTGCAAATTCATAAAACAACTAAGCCTGATGCCATCCAGGAGAAGTGTGGGCCAAAGCTTTGGGGTGCTGGCTGCCTTGACAAAAAGGAGGTGCCTTGGCGAAGGGCCAGGGAGTCACAGAGATTGTACCTACATCGACTTGAGCACGATTCGCGGGAGCCTGTGATAGGAACGTGAATTCCCTAATAGACTCAATAGACTGGAACGCATTTAGTAACTATTCGAAGCTCAACTTTTCCTGCCCTGCTTTGAGATATTCACAAGGAACCATCCAAGGACAGTCTCTTTGGCGCCTACCGTGAGTTTTTGACCGTCATCGCTGGGAGCCCCCGTGCAGCACGGTCTGCGGCGGGATGCCTCAGCAAGGAGTTCGCCATCACTTGGGGGGAACACCCGGCTCGCATCGAGTCTAAGTTAGAGGTAGGTCCAGGTAGGTAGTCAATGGTAGTTGGTGTTTGTTTCCTGCCTCGCATGTGGTTTCAGATTGACATGCTCGCATTGTCCTCGTCCAACTGGTGTCATGCTATTGCACATGTGGAGAGGCTACTTGGGTCGGGTTGGGTGCGTAAGATGTCGCACTAGTCTTCAAGTAAGCAAGAATATGTCCTGCAGAGGTCCGTTGCATGCACGTGAGATGTTCAGGAGGAGTATGTAACTGGCAAGGGGCCGGATGGAAAGAGCTTGCAGCTTGGCAATCAAGGGGTGCCGAACATGTTTGACCTGAATCAACTTGCTGATCCTGAAGTGGTTCCATTGCGTGAGCCAGTTTGATGTGAGGCCTGAGATCAAAGACTCCTCATACAAAAACTCTGAACTGGGCCGGCAACGAGTGTATGGAGCCTTTGAAGTGTACAAGAAGTTCAAGCAGGAGCTCCAAGAACCTAAAATGAAAATGGATAAAGTGTGGCGAATTCTGGATTTGGACTCTGAACTTTGCAGGTTCCACAGGATAACTCGCCAATTCTCCCCACAATCCTCCAGGTTGCGGTCAATATTTATTGTTTTAACTTAAAAGGTCGTAACACTATGACAGGGCAGGCAGAATGGACTGATTGCTAGGGCTGGAAGCTGGGATTACAATGAGGATAAAGCAGCAATGCATAGCAATGCATCAAAAAGGCAGTCATACCATGTCATATCTCTCGGCAGTGACGCGGTGCCAGGAGCTCCATCGCTACGACTGTACAGATGTGGCTCGTGATCTCCTCAAGCGAGCGCAGGCAGCACAGAGATTGAAAGATGGCGGCAAAAAGATCCGGAAGTGCCTTGGTTCATCTTGGTTTAGCGATTTTGGAGATGTTTATACAGAGCCACAGGGCCTTCTGAGAACCCGTGGATGGTCATGTCTTGGTGAGATCTGTCTGGGACCCAAATATATGTCTTAGGTTGCGGCTTGGTTTCTTCTTGGCTTGGCTAGGCTCGCAGGTCTATTTGACACTGCACTTGTGATGGAACCGAGCAGTCACAGGGACCCTGTGCATGAGTTGCAGCAGCAGGGGTAGCTGGAGCCCTTTCAGAAGAGTGTACGAAAGCCCCTGAACACCAAGGTTTTTTGGAGTTTACGTTGATGAAGTCCAGGACTTGTTGCCGGTGGAGCTGCTACTCCTGAAACTCGTGAGCAGATTGCAGAGAGATATAGTGAGCCGATGGGATTTTTGGAGCTGGTGAAGTCATGTTCAACCCACGTTCACACACGGTCTGGCTCTTTTTTCCATCTCGGTGTGCGCTGCTTTAGTTGGGACTTGGAACATCTTGACAGCCTCCAGGCAAGTGCAGACATGTGAAAAAGTCGCGCTGGAATTGTTTACTCCCGCGGCTCGAAAGAGCCTGACTTGATGGACATCGTCTCAGGTGAGCGATCGGAACGAAGGCTTCATCTTTGCGGGCGACACAGCACAAACCATCAGCAAAGGCACGTGTTTCGGGTTCGAGGATGCCCCGTGGGGCTCGTGGGGTTGACTGGTTTTGGTTGTCCTCGCAATCAGGACACCTCAGCCGTTCTTGGTCCAGACTCATATACTACCGCGGGAGTTACTGGGGGATTGGGGTGTGGATCTAAGCAGGGGTTCAGCAGCTTCAGACTCAGACTCACAGCTGCGCAAAAAAGATTGCGATAGCTTTTGCACAAGAATTCCTGCAGTTCACCAGTCAGGTGTGGAGTTCCGATTTGAAAGCATCCGACGCCTCTACTACGAGGAGTTTTGTGGAGGGAAGCAGCATGAATCAGAAGTCGTCAATGTGAAGGTAGAGACATGCTCGATTTGCGACTTGACTGACTGCTGGCCATGTCATACCAACTCATACCAACCGATGGCTGTGGTAAAGAAGGTATAGAAACCGTTTTGGTCACGCAGAGAATTCCACTGTTGGTTCATGCCTTTGATGCGAAAACGTTTTAGCTGGAAGATTGCCGGATCAAAAGCTAATTATACATTTTCATGCAACAGTTGCTGCTGCTGTTTGTGTTGTTGTTGTTGCTGCTGTTGTTGTTGTTGTTGGGATGAGCACAGGTGCAATTAGATATTGGATTCTGCAAACATTGCAAGCTGAGGTCAAACGGAGTTGCGCAACGGGGGCAGTCACTACGTTTGCATGGGAAAGCTCCTTCGTAAGCATTGATTTGCAAGGCACGTCAGGTGCCAGACCATGTTCATGTGCACATGGAAGAATTCTTGAGCTGCATTTGAGGTATCACGAGTATTTCATCTGTAAAAATGGCTGCGAAGAGAAGTTGGATGCTGGGCATTGCTTCTGAACGTGCTCTTTTCTTTTGACGATTCAATTACAAGCTCGATCCCCGCAAACCACAGTCCTTCAGATGGCGGATGGGCCTGACTGACTTGTCTTCAGGTCGGGCCTATCAGTTCAACCTAAGTCAATTCGAACTCGCTGCCTGCAGTCGACGTCTCAATCTGAGGAGGAGAAGTCTCGGAAGCTCCGCTACGGTGCCACCCCGGGCCTTCGAAAGAAGTTAGACTCGGCTGGTGCCGGGAAGATCAACTGCCCTTTCGGGCAGGACGGGTTGGGTCCAGGGTTGGGAGCTGGAGTGCACTTAGACGGTCGAACTCTCACGTGGAATATCGCGGGATTATACAATTTGATGGGCGGCTTCTGAGATGACAGAAATTTGCTGGATGAAATCTTGATTCTGTGTATGTGTGTGTTTGTGTGTGTGTGTGTGTTGGACCTACAGGTTATACCTCAAGTACTGTAATAGAAGATTGGAGTGAGGAGGGCATGAATCAGGCAGGACTGTGAAAGCGTCAAGTTCGCCTTTAGTCATGCTGTGTCAGGAGACTGGAAATCCCTGTGGATTGATGCTGACGAAATCGAAAGTTGGCGCTGTTTCGTTTGAGGCGGCTCGCGTTGATCCGGGTATTGTGTTCTGGCCCTGTTCGTGCAAGACAGTGCAACCAGTATTATATGACTTGTGAGAATGGATGGGCACTAGATTTGTCCCCGGGTTGCTTCAGACTGGCCAAATGGCCTTCTTCTGTCTTCACTTCCCAAGTCGCACGAGAATTATGTATCTTTGTGTTTTGTTTGGCCGTAGGAGGAGCCTTCGTCCAGCCAAAGAGAGCTGCCACAGCAGCTGGCACAGATCCCAGACATCACATGCCTGTCGCAGAATCACAGGACCAAACGAACGGAGGGTCATTGTCACATGAGTGTCTTGTTGTGTTGAGGACGTTGAAGAAGGTGGACTATTTACGGGTTCAGGTATCATCACGACTCATACATCGATGCTTGGGACTTTTGGGATGAATCATCATTGTGTGATGATAAGGCCGACCTTACTGTTCCTTTAAGGCGGCAATGAGCCCCACATTTTCGTGCCTCTATATAGATTGAGGAGTACCAACTCGATCCTGGAATTGGCAGCGGCAATCCTGGACCTCATCACTCACTTCTTCCCGGACAAGATCGACAAATTACCCAGGGAGAAATCGAGGGTGTTGCTCAGCAGAACTTGGTGGTTTAATCTTTGCTTCCTTCATGTTTGGAAGCAGATTGAGTGCACAATAGCGATTATTGATGATTTTTGGAGATGAGATAATGACAATCTCACAGGGGCTTACCAATGGCCCCCATACCTAGAAGTGGACGGCATATTAGTGGTTTAGCTGATCCAACATAGTGCAGTTGTTCAATCGGGTGGTTTGCATATGGCTTAAGGTCGCACAAACCTTGGACTTGAGGCCGGCCCCACACCAAAAAGCCAGCGCGGCATGTAATCAAGGGCACTCAAACCCGCTCAAGCCCTGACAATCGGTTGATGACACTAAACAGTCGAAAGCAGGCATGACCTAGCCTGACTAGCTGAGGAAGTCGAGCACGCCGCCCCGTATCCTAAACAAGATGCCCCTTGGCAGATCTATAGTCTATGGCGGTTGTTTGCCCGGGGTGATAAAGGGTGAGGAGCACGGTCCTCAAGCATAGCACAAAAGCAGCGGCTTGCTTATTTGTGTTTTTTCGTGCTTCTGAGGGCCGAACTGATGTCACTTGCAGGTGGTGAACACGGCGGAGAATGCAGCAAATGCTCCATTCTTCAGGTTTCTCCCAAGCTCTCACACCCACCTCTTGGATCCTTTTGGTCTTGATTATTATTCTAAGGTTTGTATTTGATGATGATGATGATGATGATGCCACTGGCCCATGACCCATGTCCATTAGCTAATATACAATCTGTCCGGTGGTTCGAGGGGGTTAAAAGTTGGAAGCTCATCCACACCTGAGCAGACGAAACAAGCCGGCACAACTGGAGGGCAGCTCCAGTTTCAGAGTCGCAATTGGCACGGGGCAAGAAGCGCCTCTCGCATCAACCGCAGGTCTTGGGAAGAGGCGCAGAAGATCATTTTCGCCAACGACAGCTCAGAGAAACCTGGACCAACATCGTATTACATCTCATCCCGTTGACGTGGTTTGAAGGGCTAAGGCGAGGAAGCTGCATTCGCCCGTGGGAGCGAAGAGTGTGCTGGGGGTGGAAATGCAGAAGGGTCATAGGCGGGAGGGGCCTGGTCAGGTCTGTAGACTGTAGTTAAGCATAGTTACACTAAGAGGTTCGGAGGAATGCCGGAAGCTCGGTGAGGTATAGATTGCTTTGCACTGCGCTACAGAGCTGCTGCATGTTTTTGGGTTTTGAAGCAGCTGTGACGTCATAGACGGGAGTTCCATGGAGTTCCAGACCCTGTGGGTTAAAACCCTGCAGACTACAGACTGCATTTCTATGTATATATATATGTTATATGAGTCATACATATGTATATATGTTATATATATAAATATGGTTTTCATTTCTGACTGTTGCGCGTTCAATTCTATTGGCTTCTCCCCACATTGAATGTTCAAATTTAAAAGTATAATTTGTGCCTTCTGGGTTTGGGTCAGTCTGGTCGCTGACATCCTCACTTTCCCTTGAACAATGTACGCTGTTCATAGAGGAAAAACTTATAAAACTTAACAAACATGAGAAAACACGTCCAGTCACAGAGAACCCTGCAATTGTGTCAATCCTTTCACCCCTTATTACCCTTGTGTTGAGACCTCCACAGCGGCCTGTGCATATTTTCCGGCTCGCGCCAAGGAGAGCGGTCCTAGAGTTTGGAGCCAAGCAGGTGGTGCTTGTGTGGTCCGAAGAGAAGAAGCGGGAGATGAAGGAAAAACTCACACAGTCGTTGGTGATGACAATCCACGAATGCAAAGGTTTCATGGCAGGATTCGGCATGAGCTGGCAGGACCTGGCCCAGTAGCCCCCTGCCACTCCCAAAGGAACACTTTACTTTTGGGCGAAACATCTGCAACATGAATCAACATGGACAGCAGTTTCCAAAGCCTTTCAAGGGCCCAAGGGCCACACCGCCACACGACACGTGCTTTCAGCTGCTTTGGCTTTGTGTGTAGCTGCTACGGTCTCAGGTTTGGAGTTCTTCGATGTCTTGCTGGTAGACCCCTTCAGCGACATGAGTGGGTGCACCAACGAGTCACAGGCGCAGCAAAACTGGAACCTCATCTTTGGCGTGTTTGAGAAGTTTGGCCTTCAGGTGTCGTGGCGCAAATATAAATTGGCCTTCATGGTTTTCAGTCCTGGTCAGTGATGAACCAGACTCAGATAGCATTTCAAAGGGAATGCCTTTGTAGCCTTGCCCCTTGTTTACGATGTGTGGGCTGTGCCATGACTCCAAGCTACCAGGTCTGCACAAACGAAAAGAAGAGGGCCCCAGCTTTCGTGGACGACAAACATGGCTTGTTGTGCGCGTGGCTGAAGACTCTCTACGTTGGCATCACACGTGCGAGGAAACGCGCCCCTTGGACCACAGTGAGGCACACTGGAGATTCAAGATGCACAAGCTTGCTTGCAACTGGTTTTGGGACACCACAAGCTTTTGAAAGACGGTCCAGGTTGACCACTTGCTTAAGTAGGGGCATTGCAGAGGCTGACACTTGACATGAGTCAGAACTCGAGGTGTGGATTCTCGAAAGCCAAGAGCACGGCCAGTCACTGGTCCGCTACTCGCCTACCAATCCGGCTGCGAGAGAGAACGACTACAATGACCAGAGATAGATAGATAGGATAGGATAGGATAGGATAGGATAGTAGATAGATAGATAGATAGATAGACAGAGACCAGAGATAGGCAGGATTAGGCAGGTATAGAAGTAGACAGATAGAGAGAGAGAGAGAGAGCGATAGAGATAGAGATAGAGATAGAGAGAGGAAACAATTTTGGGAATGAGCAGTACGAACCCGCGTGTGCAACATGTGCAAATTGTTGCGCAACCAAAGCTGTTACATGGCAATTTGCCAAAGGCATTCCTCCTTAAGATTACCGTAGGCAGGATAGACAGGAGACTGCTGGTGTGGGGTGTGGGTGCGATCATGCAACTCGAGAATGAGAAGTGCCAGCACATACTCAGGCTTTTTGCAGGAGATGGGTGTGGCCCAAATCTGCAACGTTGGTGACGTCACTTGGTCAAGGTATGTGTTGTTTGCGGTCAGCTCCAGCGACTCAATGGCTTTCATTTCTACGCTTAGGTGGCGTGGTGGTGTGTGCACTTTCATGCCTCAGGGTCTTCAGAGATTGTTACTTCCCGCAGCCGAAAACCAAGCAAGGAGGGCCTTCTCCAATGCGGGTTAACAAGATGATTAACTACCAGAGGGCTTAATCAGCTTAATCATGCTTAATCAGTTTTGATGTTCATTCAAGTGAAGACTCCCTAGAGGCACAGGCAGGTGTTGAGCAGATCAAACACGCGGCGAAGCCAATGAACACTTGATCCTGCAAGTGCCAGGGCCAGTCTCCCGAGGATTTGGCAGGCTCACAGGGCTTTGCTGCGACTTCTACCAGCCAAGAATGGTTTGATATGGGCCTGCAGATGTTTCGTGAGTCTGGCAATTACGAGCAGGCCGGATGCAACTTGTGAAGCTGGTTGCCTTTTCCACCCAACTTCGGTTGCCGCCTTTTACCCACAGCTCTTAGCAGTAGCAGGGGTATGCTTTTGGTCTTGTGCATGGGCAATGACAATCCGGAACGCCTGCTCGTGCTGTCGTTTGGTTTGTGCAGAGCAGTATAGATGAATAACACCGAACCATTGACCATTAGATTGTTCCTACAAAGCTACATGCCTAGATTTCAGGGAGAGACAGATAGGGTTTGTATGAGTCCTAGTCATAGTCCCTAGAGTTCGGGGATTCCAGGGTACTTCGCGCTGCTTTCAATACAATTGAAAGCCACAGCCAGCCAGCGGCAACAGCATTCAGTACGGCTTTGGTATGCTTCGGTTATTGAATCGTTTACGGACGGACCGATGTATTTTTTGGGGGGGCCACGTGCTGTGCACTGGTGTCGAGGCCAAGGTGGCTTTTGGGAATGCTGAGAAAGCAAACTTTATCCAGGCGAGCCTGAAGAACGTGTTGCCTGTGTGGCCTTGAGGCGAACAAAATGAGAGCTCTGTGTGGCCTGTGGCGTGTTTGCATGCGTTTGCCAGGCAACCCCGTGGAAGCTGTTGGCCGAAGCAGAGGTCTACACCTTAGCCACTTCCTGGGCCACGAAAGTCTATGGTTGGATGTTGGATTTGTTGGTTGCATGGGATTCACCCGCTCAGGAATGCCGGAAACCTGCTCGGATGGATCACAGTCAGGCGCTGTGTCAAGGGCACTGCTGGTCCAGATGCATGGCGCACCGATCCTGACCATACTTTCTGGACCCCGGACAATTCGGCTTGAATTTCAACAGCGCGCGGGGCGACCAACACTTGGAAATTGCACTGGTAATACCATGTCATTGCATCTATGCAATTCAATTCTCATTCTACATCTCCTGCTTTGACAAGCATCTTAAACCAACCAAACCTCACTTACGTCACCACAACCGCATTCCAAAGAGTAGTCATATATATATAGTTATATTAGTGCAATCAAATATGCATAATACATATATAGATAGTTCCAGAAAGGTTGTCATGGTGCTCAGAATTCTGACAGCTGACGACCAGTACGGCTTCCAGAAAAACTGCTCGCCTGTGAGCCATGGCAAGCGTTGAGGGCGACTTTTGGGAGCTCCATCGCCGACTGGGAGAGTGACGCATGGAGAGCCAATGAGTTGGGCAGCATAGGTTCAATCAGTTTTAATCACCTAACCCCCCCTCGTACCGTTGATGACAATACCGAAGAAAGGCATCCTGTGGCCCATGTTCACTGCGGCACCAATGACTCATGTGGGCATTGGGTATCAGAAAAGGATTCAGGATAGGCATGTTTGCTGCTTGTAGCTTGATCTACTATGATATACTGTATTTTGATATGCGTCGACTTGGCGGCGTCGACTTGGTCAATCTTGGCCCAGGCTATGCGCGGGATGTGAATGGGCCCATACAGTCCATGGCTTTGCAGTCCATGGCTACGCCTACGCAGTCCACAGCTTTGCGTCCAGGGTCGCCGACCAATAAAGCACAAACTTTGGCCCTTCCGGAGGCTTTTGTTCCTCCTGGGTCGAGGAGAAACAGCCATACGACCCTGGCGCTCCCAGACGTGGCAATGCCTGGCTCAAGGAGGCATAGCAGCTTAGTTGGCCAGATTTTGGGAAAGAAGGAATGAGAAGGTTGGCAGTCGAACACGTAATAGCAGTAGCTTGTATTTGCCAGGTTGTTTGCAAGAATGCCTTTGTGAGCTGCCAAGGCAGAGTTCTTTTGTCAAACGTCTCGAACATCTCAAAGGTCTCTGAGGTCATTGCCATGCAGAATTTTGGAATGTCCCAGACTGCTGAGGCTCAGCTCAAAAACTGTTGACGTGGGGACTGACATTTGCAACCATTCGAGGAAAACACGGTTTTTGATATTTTTTGTCCGTGTGATTTTGTCAATCGTGGAGAGTGCAATGGGAGGTTTTTGTGTCCTTGTTGGTTTGATTCAAATAAACTGCCAAAAGAGTGCGGGGCTATATGCAGTACTGGGTGCTGCATGCATAGACATGCCACATGCAGGCCAGGCTCTTTATGCCGTTGTGCTGAAGCCTGTGCCTTAAGGAAGTCGCTATTCCGGCGGACGTGCGGATAGAAGAATTGAGGGGTCGCAGAAAGCAGACGATGAAGACACTTGCTTTCTCCCAGGGCCTGAACATTGAGGAATCAGAGGACAGAGAGTGAGAGATTGGGGGCCGGACACGTTACAAGAAGAAAAGAAGTGCTTTGATCTTTGATCAGTTTCTGTTGCTGTTTGTATTGAGAACTCCTTGATCATTCCTGATCCCCTCTCCTTTTTGTTTGTCTTCAGGAGGTCACCAAGCTGGTCGACTTAAAGCTGCATGAGTGCTGGAACGTCCAAGGTACCTCCTCAAAAGCGGCTTCGAAAATGAAGAAAGCTGCAGGTGGTCTCAGCAGGAGAATGTCGGTGGAATTTGCGGCGCCCCTGCCAACAGGCACTAGTGCAAATGAAGGACATGTCGAAGCTAGCCACAGCTGTTTGGCAAGACTTATTTTACATCCAGGAGGCTTGTTCCGCACAATTTGGAATTTGGTCGTTGCACTTTGCGTTCTACATGATGTTGTGATGATCCCGCTCTCTGCCTTTAACCTGTCGGAAACAACTTTTCTGTCAGTTTTGCAGTGGATAGTCCTTCTCTCATGGAACATTGACCTTCTGGTCTCTTTGGTCACTGGCTTCTATGATGATGGCACGCTGGTCATGATTCCATTGCAAATATGGAAAAACTATGCCAAAACATGGATGCTGTTTGATGTGAGCTTCTTGGCAATTATTCTGTTCATTTATGCTCATTTATGTACTGCTGTAGTGTGCCGGTTTAAATTAAGTTTCTTATAGTCACCTCATGTGCTCATACGTTTGCTCCTCTCCTCCTTCCCTCTTCACAGACTGCCAAGCTTGGCCTGGGATGTTCTGGGTCCGTACTTTGGACGTCAGGCTTGATCACTTTGGATTGGACTTTGGTGGTCATTGGTGATAGCAGCTCCTCTAACCGAAGCTCCAATGAGTGGCAGACGCTTCGTTTACTTCGATCCTTGAGACTGGTGCGAATGCTGCGCATGATCAAGCTGAGGCTGGGCACTGCGGACAGTCTTCTGCAAAGCAGGAGGTTTCGACATTAGTTGGCCTTGGCTTTCCATAAAACATGCATGTGGCAATGAACGTTGGAACTCCCCCGGCCAGGAGGGCACACGAAGCATTTCAGGAAATGCTCCACTCACAGGCGTCAAGCCTGTATTTTGGACTTTTTAGCAGCTTGGCATATTTGCAACCTGGAATTGCTCAGCATTATTTTCCTCATGGTTTTCTGGCCACGCTAGCAGATTAGTAACTGTAACATGCATGTGCACATTTAGAAATAAACCCGCTGGAACCCGGATGTTGTCACATCAAGGATTGTCCTCAACCACTTCATTGCCTGCGCGTTTTTTGCCATGAGCCATTTGAGCACAGAGAACTGGGTCAGAGAACTTGGTCTGGAGGATGCCGGAGTCGAATATCAGCACCTCTGACAGCCATAAAGTTTATGTGCTTGAGTTTGAACCAGATGCTTATCGGTCATGGCCATTTCCAGATTTTGTCATAATATGGTGCCACCGTATGTCGGGTGATGCTATAAGTCCCCGAATGTTCACCCTCAAAGCTTACTCATAGTGAAACAGATATTTGCTGACCGCATGATCTTGACAAGCCAGGTACCTCACCTGTTCCTAGACTTTATGCGAGAAGCGTTGTTTTCTACTGAGATGTTTGGTTTGTTTGGTTGATTCCCCTGCAGAAACTATTTCAATGTCAATTCGTGATGCGTCCTCCGCTTGACTTCAAGGTATGAATTGGGCATTTGCTCAGTTGGGAGTGGGATCAAGCAATGCAAAGCCGACAAATTCATTGGCCGCTGTGACGTTACACCATCCCACCAGCAGCAGACCAAACAACCCCCGAACAGCCATGATGTAAGTGGCAGAAAAGAAAGCTGTTGTGGAGATGCATTCTTTTCCCGTTTGCATGCTGGCGTGGAAAGGTAGTAGCGCAATATTTTGTAAACAAATACTTTGAGGTTTGGGAGGTTAGGATGCTTTGGATGGTAAGCAAATCGATGACTTGGCATTCGACATGCCGTCGAATCAGTTAACGCTACTGTATATAACTATATATTATATATATAGTTATTCTTATATATATGTGTGTACAGTACACTTATAGTATCTTATAGTACACTTTTAGATTTTGGTTCCTGCCGGGGTGCTTGATCCCGTGCTCTCGAGGAAATGGCATTTTGTATTGTCATAGCTTTTCGCTCCTTGATGACAGCCGCATCGCTCATCAGCACTGTTAGCAATCTGATGGCTGGATTGAGCAAGATCAAGGAAGATGAGATGCTTGGTGCCCAACTGGCAGCAACAAACAATAAACAACTTGTTGCCGGCAACCGGTGGTTTGATTTTTCTCACCATGTCATCTCACATAGTGCTTTATGAAAATAGCATCCTTTGATTCACCCTTGTTGTGGGAGAATGCTGACGTACTTGAGTTGTCTGAAGTTGTCTAAAGATTCTTGGCCAATGCCAGCCAGGAACACTGAGTTCCGCTTGCTGCGTTGCTACTTGAAACAGAATGAAATCCCGCCACCCTTGAGCCAAAAGGTGACGCAGTTCTTGCAGCATGAGTATAGCTTAAGACAAGAAGCTAGGTCCGCCGACATGGAGGTTCCGGTCCTGGCTTTGCTGTCCAAACAGCTTCAAGGAGAACTCCAACTTGCAAGGTACAATCATGCACCATGGATTAAGATCGTTCAAGATCTTTTGCATAGAAGAGATTTGTGCTTTTCTGTGTTTTCACTCCCGCTCCCTTGGAGTTCAGTTCGGGTGACGAAGAACTGGGAGTCGTGGATGTCACGGGGGGTGGCTCGCGACGTTCAATACTAAGTTGTCCAGCTTGGTAGCATCATCATGCGTTCAGTTCAACAAGATATTTGAAGAAAAACAACAGATGACAATGACAAAACCCATGTATTTTTAACTTTGTTATCGTTTTCTCATAGTTGTAAGGGCTCTTGTGATTTCTAGTCCAGCTGTCCCTTGCATGTCCCGAACGTGTCACTTGCTGCCTTAAGGCACTGTGCAAAATGCCGGTCGTGGACGGCATTCTTAAAATGCAAGACTTGCAGGTTCTCCAAGTGATGCAAAAGATGGCAAGGACGGCCATCAGTAATGCTGTGGTGGCTAACAAAGATGTCATTTTCCTGGCTGGGTCTGAAGCAAAAGCCGCATATCTAACTCAAAGTGGTTCGCTGACCTACTTCCATGACAATGGAACAGAATCAGTACCTTGGCATACCTTCCCGTGCTTGGGGTGGGCGAAGCGGGCAGTATAGTATGATTCTGAGGGGATTGTCCACCTATATAACTAGCACTTGGGCAAGCTGCTCGAAAGGTCCACTTCGCTTGTCCAATCGATATTGCAGTTTCAACGGGCCCTGTTTGTTCTTCCGAAGGCTGGCTGTATGAGTGCAAAACAAGCTGCCCACTGAGGTTCACCTGGATTTTTGGATCGCTGAGGTTTGCCTTTGGACACCCTGGGTGTATTTGGGGGACCTTGTTGCAGATGATGTCTCTCGACTTGTCATCATTGATGCTGATGAGTTCTGCTCAGCCCTGGCCAATTGTTGGCAAACACACAATGCTGCCAGAAGTCACGCGCAAGAATTCCTGGAAGCCATGCGAAAGGAACAGACTTGGACGGATACCTGCAGGCATTGAGAAATATGGAAACCAATTGAATGTGCGGTTTGGGGCAATGTTCGAAGCTGTGCTCGCGAGCGGCCTCAAGTCGCAGTTGTTCAAGTAGACCAAAAAGCAGTTTTCTTTCGCTGTCGAGCTTGTGACATCTTTTGACCCAGGACGTGGTGAAGGTTGAGCCAGACCTCGATGGCAGTGAAGATAGCGCCCAGGTTCACCAGAAGCCAAGTCGTGAAGGTGAGATGTGCGCAAATACTTGTTGACTGCATTTTTTCCAGCTGCAGCTTGTTCAACACCATACGACAAGAGGTAGTTATATATAGAATGTTACTGTATAGGCAAGTGGATGAACATAACACAATATATATATATATATACACAATGACTAATCTGTGGGAGTAAGTATTTATTTCTGCTGGCAGTTTCGAACACATTTCAGCACAATATGATGTGAGAAGGTGCTTGAGATCCCGAAGCCCACTGACTGCTCGCAAGGCTTCTTCCGATGGCCGTGGCGAACCACCGCTGTGGTCCCGCAACCAGAGGAGCTCAGCTGAGAGAAACTTATCAGAGCTGCGCACAAGTGGATCATTGAGTGAGCTTGTAGTTTTACAAGACTTCGAGTTTCAATGAGAATCTTGTGCAGTCAGACAGGTTGAGTCTTCCTTCAGATGTGGTCCTGCTAACTTCAACCCCCATGCTGGATGCCGCTGGTGTGCAAAATGCACGCCTGAAGTGGCCAAAAGAACACCCGCAATTCCAAGCAACTAGCTACAAACACGCATGAGGCTCAATCCATCATGTTGCAAATGCACGTGAAATGCCGATGTTTGTCCTGTTTTGCCCAGAACACTCTGACTGGATTTGACTAGCTGACTAGCACGTGGCCTGTGCGGGTGGCCGCGTGAGCTCTTCGCCTCGTCTCACGCAGAAGCCAAAGGCTTCAAAGACTTGGGAGATAGACGAGAAAGATTGAGAAATGCAGAACTGCTTGACAGAGCTGCGCACCGGGCTAGGATCATCATCCCAGTCACATGAGGTTTCCTGGTCATTCTGTATGATTCCAAGGTTGTTAACCGTAGCGCTACCAGGCCGGTGCTGCGTATGTGCGGTTGGCCGAGTGGCTGGAGAACGCCCTGGGATCTAGTCAGCGGCAAGTGCAAGACGCTGCGAAGGAGGGGAGCCGTGGATTTGGTGTTGGGACATGCCGATATCATTGGAACCCGGCTCAATAGAAGAAAGAGATAGAAAGACTAGATCGATGAATCGACTTCCCCAGCGGTCTGTACGGTCGATCAATCCTTTCTCTCCACACGCACCTTGGATGAGGACCAACCAGCTCACATTTCTTGTCATAGAAAGAACCTGACACTGAACCTTGGGACAATGCACTGCGGCAAAGAAGCGCCGTGGATGGCAGGAGGTGGGCGTGGAGGAGAAGAACCTCCGACCAAGTGAAGCGCGGCAGCGCGCAGCTGAGGGCTTTATGGAAGCTATGGACTGGTCACAGGACTGCCGAGCAGATTCTAAAATTGCGATGATTACGATTGCATGCTCCAAACTGGAAAATGATAGGGGACTTACAAAAACGATACTCTTTAACAAGGGTCCAAAACATTGGGAAACGATCGGAGGCTCACAAATATGACGATGCAATAGTAGCACATAATAATATTGACCGGACCGTACCTCATGTGGAGATGAAAAGGACAATGGAGGCCATTTGTGCTTGTAATTTTCATTACTTTTCTCGTCCTAAAGAAATGCCTTGTCTCTAGCCAGCATTTGCAGATCAGAAGCAAGAACAGCAGTTTGAGTACGGGACGGCACCCTCAGAGATATCATTGATATCAGAGATATTTGACCCACAACCTCATGGAGGAAAATCAACTCCTAAACAGACTGTGATGGACCCTATGCTCAGCAAACACCACTCGCTGAGTGCACTTCATGGAGACTCCAAGTTCTATAGTATGCGAGTGTGCGATGCTCTCTAGTGGTTTGGCGCAGGCCAGCCGCGAGTTCGAAAAGGCCGGTTGCTTCTCTGATGCAGCTGAATGTGCTGATGTGCCTTGGCAAAGTAGGTTGCCTTACTGGTCGGGTTGGGTTGATCCTCGCCATGGATTCACTCAAGCACTGCACGTCATTGATGTCATGTAAAAAAACACGCTAAAGGACGATCTTGTTGGTACCTCAAACCGAGAAGACTCAGCTTGGGTTCGCATTGTCATGGTTGCGCTTTGTTCCAGCAATTCCAGGACTGATATGCGGTAAGATTGTCTATGCACTTCAGGTATGCTAAGCCTTGCGTAAAACATCGTAAAACTTGTGAGTCAGATATTGGATAGCGGGCCCTGACGGCATTCACTAAGAACAGGTTTTGTCATTTTCCTGGTGAGCGTTTTCGCCAGAACGTAGCAGTTGTTCTGATCCTACCCTTGTGAGTTTTGGGGTCCAAAAAAGTTGGAGGTCACAAGGACCCGCTCGAAAGACACGCCACGCAGGCACTGCAAAACTGGAAACATGCGGGCAAGTTGTGGCGAATGGCTGGCGAGGCTGATGGGTGGATGCGGATGTGCAGCATCGGCTCGTGCCCGCTGAGGTACACTTCTGTCATCCCCCATGCATGTTTCTCACCTGCTGAACGCTCAAGCATTTTTTGACTTGTGGTGGCCGGCCTCTTTGTGGAACAAATTCGCGCAATTTCTGTGTTGGTCTTCACTCCCGCTGCTGACCACGGTCTATTCTTGTACATATGTTTTAACGATTGGACCTTTGTACCATTTTGTACCTTTCAGCGAGTTAGGAGACTTATATAAGCACAGGAGGCTACAAGCAAGTTGTAGATTATAGACAAGTTGGTGTGCAGACAGAGAATGGCTGCCTAGTTGCTGGCTCCTTGCTGCTAGGATGAGCGTGCGCTTAAACGCTTCCATCGAGCCGAAGCATGGAACGACTTCGAACCTCGTCCTTTGAGATTCGGCATCCACGTTGAAGACAACCTTAAATGAAGACCAGACTAGAGGCAGCAAGTAGCTTCCAGTTGATATTTGCTAGATAGCATTGCACAAGAGCTTCCACAAAAAGTAAGCACACACTTATAGAAATGCGTACTGAGTACTGAGTATTGCTAATTGGGTTGCGGTTTGCCAGACGCCAGCCTAAGTGAAAAACCTAAGAAACCAGGGAGAGTAAAGGTAAAGCTTCTCAAAGCTCCAAAGCACAAAGTGCTTAAATCTCCAAAAACGAGGTCTCCAAAGCTCGATGAAGGTTCGAACGGCGAGCACCTGTCTGCAGACCTGTCATCACCTAAACAGCCTGACTTCTAGAGGGGAGCATAGTTCAGCAGCTACACGGAGGTGATCAATCTCCGCTTCCCCCATCGTGGAATAGCTTCGTTGGCACAGGTATCCACGATGGGCCTGTGCCCCCTGCTGAAAAAGGACACAATCCAAAAGGAATCTTGTGACTCCAAAGGTTACACACACACCTCCCCGAGGGGAGGCGTTCCTTTTCAATTAACCTCCGGACGAGGGCAAGGTTGGGTGAAAATTGAACCTACGCGGGAGGAGCAGGGATAGGTGGGCGAGGAATCATCACTCTAAGGTCCCGACAGACTCCAACGAGTCTTGAACAAGCTTCGTCCGCTGCGGCCACGTACGCCGTGCCAAAATGGCTGGCAGCTTTGACTGCTGTGGTCACGTAAAGGCATAAGCCAGCTTAGAACTCAATAATTCGTCAAGTCTTGGCAAATGACTTTGGCCTAGGCCATCTACGCTCGCCGCGAGCTGCTTTGTATCCGGGCAGGGCGTACGTTCGACTTACCCCCCTTCGACGGGTCCACAGGGGCCACTCCTCGGGGCACCCCGGGCTCTCATGAGGAGAGGCGCACTTACAGAAATCGGTACTGATTGGATGCCAGCATCAAAATTTTAAGACTTGAACCGCGAAAGCTCTGAAATGAAAGTGGGAGAAACTCCGTAGACCCGGCGGTGTCGAATCTCCGTGGCTCGGCAGCGTGGGGTTCAGAAGATTCATGGGTGAGACAGAAACGAGCCAGTAACCTGATTCGCAAGTGCAAAAACGCCAAATCGATATGTGATTGCCAGTGGTCTCAGCGCCCCCTTGCGGGAGATCGCACTCTGCACCAAGTGGGACGACAGAGCGGCACACACTTAGTCATTGGGTTTTCAGTTAACTCAATTCCCCGAAGAAAGGAGCGACGGATCGGAACGGCGATGGAGTCAGCTCACTTGGATTGTTGAAAATACTGTTTACGCGTGACTGCAGCACGCGGCGGTGTCGAACTTCAAACGCGGCTCAGCTGCAAGAAAGGGTTTGGGGACAGTATCATGCAAGAACCATGGAAACAAAAACCGGGAAAGTGGAGTCACAGCATGTGCAAAAGTTGTGTCAGCGCAGGTACGCCAGGATGGCCAATCCTGGTATCCCGTGGTCAGACTAGCTTCGTTGGGCGTAGTCATCTGAACACGCTACGCCCCCCCTGCATATGACAGTGTGGTTCGCGGTAATCAAGTAATCAAAACTCCTAGAGACGGAGAGTGGCACACACACACACACATAGCCGCTTAGCGGCGCTCCGAGCGTTGACAGCTGTTTTTCTGGTCGCTTCAAAAATCGTTTGCAGATTTGGCAGTCAGATGCTGCGTGTCCTTTTTGGACACAAAGGTGAACAAGCTGTTCAGCTGCTGCGTCGGCCGCTGTTGCGATCAGGTGTAACTTGAAAAAATTCCCACCAAAACGTGGAAAATGGAAGCGCATCAAAACCTATAGTCAAAATGTGGATTGAACATCCATCGGAGCGTACAAGTGAAACAAGTTGAACATGAAAAGTCG